GGGGGAGTGGTGTTCTATGGTTCAGTGACTGAAATCGCGTCGGTTTGATTCCTTATGTGATGTCGTTTGTATCGGGGCGTGAAGGTGAATTATTTACATTCAATAATCATTATTCCCGCCTATTTTTTTTCGTAATTCATTATTCATTATTCAAATTTCTCATAATTCATTATTCTTTTTTATTATATAATCATTCTCTAACTATCATTTTGATATTATAACTCGTTGATGTTTGCCCTATTATTGGCTATAGATATATGTATAATTTTTTACAAATAGTATTTATACAACTTGAACTAAAACTAACTTTAAACAGTATTCCCGAATTCCTCTTCAATCAGTTTTTTGCGTTGAAACATCTTTTTGCTATATAATTTGTTAAATTTCTATTCTGTTGGTATGTTGTGTTAATAGTTCACTGGTCTCCAGCAATGCTTTTCTAGCCTCCTAAACGTAAAATCATGATCATTTCACGGAGAATAGAGATTTGCTCTAAACACCAATAAATTTGGATATTCCTTCTTAACAAACATGAACATTAACGGTTTCTGCTAGTGAAATTAAGAAAAATAGCGGATTGACGGACTTGGTCACACTAGCGCTTGAAGGAAAACTAACTGTGAAAGTTACTTCACTATTACGGCACTATTACTCTTCAGAAGTTCTGAATGTTTAAAAAAACTACGGTTATACGAAAACCGCACATTATTAGTCGGACTAGCCGAAGGCGGTCCTAGTTTAAATTTACCTTTTAGTCAATCTATCTATCTATCTATGTATTATGTCGCGTTTGGACCACCGGAAGTTAAGAATTTAATAATTAACTATTGGGTTGCCTGTGTTATTACAGGACCGGAAGCTCAAACGTTTGATGTACGAATATCGTTAGTAAATGTTATATGCTACTCGCGCTTTTATATGACAAAAAAAACTATTCGTTTACAAATGTGGTATCTGTGATCTCATCGGAATGCATCAGTCTAGGTATCATAAGTACTCGCATGTGCAGATCGCTTGGTGCTTCGAGTAGTATGCTTTCGAAACTAAATCAATGGCCTTTTTAGCGTTAGGCAGTGTTGTGTGGGCAAAGATTTCAAATTAGAACAAGAAGAAACATTTTTTATCAACAAAAAAGGCGAGTTTAATGATTTTATAGGTATCATTTACGTTGTAAAGTATTTTCTTGGCCTGAGAGGTCAACGTTATCACTTAGCGTCACTTGTCTACATAGCACGTTTGATTTTATCAGTGAAAGCAAGGATTCTTTTAAAACGTTCATTGCTATATTAATTACATGAACTTTTAGGTCAAGTTTATTTTAGTCTCAAGAGAGTTTGGATATTTTGAACTAGACGCTCTTATTAGGCCGTGAGTTCGGCTATTTTGGAGAAAAATTAAGAAATATTGAAATATATATTTTAATCTAATTTTTATATTTTATGTAATATCCTCCTGTTTTTCTCTAGTTTCATTTGCATTCATAATATAATCATATGATTAAACAGAATATAACATCATAATCTTTTCACTCGTGTCTATCAATTTTCAAAAATAGCTAGTCCGACTTCACGCCCCAGGGGCGTCTACATTGTAGTTATGACATCTAAAGAACAATTCGAGTAGCTGAACGGCCTGTCCGTGTACGATAAAGAACACGTCCATCGCCAGCGTCTTCATCTACATCATCGCTGTTTTCATCACTTTTAACATCACTGTCACCGCCTTGAAGTCGACGCTCGATTCTGCATGCTTCTTCTTGTGATAATGTGTACATTCGTTCTCCAGAAGGCTCCTCTTCGATCAGTTAATGGTGATCAAGTTTCAACTCTTTTGACCTCAGATAGAATAAAGGGGATCGGCCCATCTATTAATTATTGAACCTGGCGGACAAGTAGTAATTTGAACTTTTCATTCGGTGTGGTCACGCCATGTCCAGGTAATTAGGTTAATCTGGGTCAAATTCGAGTCAAATAAGCTCAAACGAAAACGTTTTATATTGATGTTAAAATGTAGATAATAAAACTTGGTTAATTATTCATTATTCTTTTGTCATTTCGTTATTATTCAATATTCCTAAAGGATCTGGTGCAATAATTCATTATTCCCAGTCATTTTTCGTCCGTTATTCATTATTTATAATTCACCTTCACGCCCCGAGCCTAGTCTAGCTTAAGGATGCAGGCCTAGGGGCTTCTGTCGCAGAAAATGACTCGAAAAAACACTTATAAACTCTTTTTTGGCGAATTTGAGACCGTGTGTTGACTAATCGAGCGAGCCGTCTCAAATAGAGGCACGTTCCTTAGGCAATACGAATCCATGATAATTTGATTGACAGCTCCTTTTATGGAGCTTGAATGTTTTTTTAATCTCTTGAATGTAAAAACGGCCCTAAATTGAGAAAACTGGGCTGGCATCAGAGGGTTAATGTAAATTGAAATGATTAAATAAAGGGTTATATGTGGGATATAAAACGTTTTATTTCGTCCAAACTAAAAGTGCTTGAATTTATTCTCGTGCACGGAAAGCTACACCATATTTGTGTGAGGGGAATGGCAAAAAAAACCTATTCATGGTGCACCCGTAAATACGGGTAAATTACCTCTTACACTGGTAGACCGATGATCACATTATTACATTAACGAAAACTTATTGTTGACTACGTTTATAACGGTCCATCATACAAAGATGGAGTAAAAAGAAAGAAACTATAATTAACAAGAAGTGTTTCAGTTCCATACTCTGTCTGCAATGGAAACCTATACGTGACTCAAATTTTCGGCCTAAAATCCCCTTCCATCTTGTTTCGATGATCAGTGACATTTTTGTTAACCTGACAACGTGTAACTTTCAATTATTTGTATGCGGCATGGTAAACATACGTTATCAAATCCAACCTTTAAGTGAAAATGCACTTCATCCCCCAGGCGACAGACACGTCCGTTCAGAGCTTCAGCAAATTGTAATTCAAAAATAAATGTTTGCTGTATTCTTGTCAAGCTTTTAAAAGAATTTAAGATTCATATTCAAATAACCAAATCTTTGAAAGCACTTTGTAAAACTGGGCCTCCCGCATACACTGAACATAGCTGCAGTCTTCCATCGTTGCACTAGATATACATTATGCGAGGGAGTGGTTTAGATAGTCAGCTCTATTTAATATTTCTGCAGAATGTGATCTCACTAGTTGTGCAATTTTCTTCAAAGAAGAAAGACGCGTTTGGAGAACAACAAACAACAAAGTAAGGCCACGAAATTTGAAGTTGTTCTGAATTTCAATAACTAATGTGGTAATTCATTGCATTTTTCACGCATGCAGTCGTTGGCCATTAGATTTTATGTGATTTTAGATTTCACGAGTTGAGCTGAATTGGAAACATAAATCAGTAAAGACAAAATGTTAATGGTGGACAGACAACTAAAACACTAGCATAGCCAAATAACTAGGTCCAGCCCATAGGAGACGAGAATGGGATATCGGAAGAAATATTGACTTTTGATATTGAAACTTGGAAGGATAGTAATTTTTATATCGTAGATTTTTTTAAATCTTAAAAGTTTTACTTACACGTGGCGACCGTTTGATTCAGAATTCTGCTAATTAGTAATTTCAATAGTATTTCATGGACCACGGATAAAAGAAAATTACCCCAAAATCATCGTGTAATCATCCCTATTGAACTGAGATTTACTTCACAAATTGTTGTTCAGTTCAAAATATCTTTGGATGCGAGTTTCCTTCTGTAGGATTAAAGTTATTCGATCTTTTTCCATGATTGAAAGAGGAGCAAATTGAAGCAAATCAATAGGAGAAAATTAAACTTTGATATATTGACTCATGTTGTCTGTAAACATTTTAGAAAAAAAAGCTGTCTTTTTTTCTGATATCGCTTATTTTTTTCTTTCTCGTTCAATAATTAAAAATGGGGTGAATTTCGTTTAACTGAGTCTTCAGGTCCATACGCACATTGGGAAAGATGAATCGTTGTCATACAAAACGGTTGCCGGGATATGGCGCTTCTCAGCCAATCAGAATGCAGAAAAATTTAAGTCGTATATTATTCTATAAAAAAAGCCTAAAAAATCATTGAATTGTTTCTGGTTTGTTTTTCATCTAGTACAATGCTGCGTTCATCAGCCCTGTTATTTCTGATGGTTGCTACAGCCAACGTACTTCTATTGAATGCAGCGCATCTAAATGATGGCATCGATTGTGGCACAAGCTTTTGGTGTCTGCATAAGCGAGGTGTGGCGGGAGCTACCAAAGGAGATCTTGCTGCAGTTCGTCCGCCTACCCATGCGCCTGCCTCTCCGGGACCCCTTCCATACGATTTTGGTGAAAAAGACCTTCAAAAGTCATTATCTACAAAAGGCTGAACTAAAGATAACTTATCTAGTTATGTACTTCTGATAATGACTGAAATTATAGACTTCTATAAAATTCCAAAATGAGAAGATGATTATAATGTATCAATCAATGTAATACTGAAGGACTAGAAAAAGTAAAGATCAAGAAACAAATGATGGTTAAGTTTAGTTTTACAAAATATTTCGACGATGAAGTTAAATTAAAATCTACATGATACAAGTGATATATGATTAAATAAGAATGATTTAGGAAAAGTTAAACCATCGCTAGTAGTCTGGCAATGGCACAATCCTACGTCACGAGTATTATGTCATGTCTGCCCCGTCCGGGAGAGAAGACAAACGACGTTTAACGCCAAGTACTATTCGCCACGCAACAGATCACGTGCAAACAGTCTGGCACGCTTGTTCTACCTCTATGAATAATGCTGTTACTACGCAGACGCGAACGGGATGTCATGTAATCCCTCGCAAACTGTACAATCAGTTTACGATAGTTGTAACAACGCTTTGCTTACTATGTTATCGAGCCGCGAAGTGGCGAGAAGTTTCCATTAATCGGTTTGTTTTTTTGCCAAGCCTCTGGTCACAAGCGAAGTAAATCTCACTTTCATGCTGTATTTAAGCAAACCAATCACAGATCAGAGTAATATGATCTGTTATCTGTGATTAACTCTTATTGGTTCGTTTATTTGACATGCCATAGACGACACAAAAGTACCACGTCACAATCCGTGTCAACATTGCATGTGACATTTTCAGGAGGAACACTCATTGCTAATTGTGATTCTAGTCATGGTTTAAAACATTCCCCACTATTTTTTTTTTTTTTTTTTCATGACTTATTACATGAATAGCTAGTAGTATCTCAATAGTTGAGGTGACGGTTTCGTCCGCCATTTTGTTTGGGTAAGCATATAGTCCCGCAAAATAACAGGATACAGCGCGAAATCGATGTGAATAATTCCAGTTGAATTCCTATTCTGAAAGAATCATTAATTTTAAACGTTAGATACTACGAAAAGGAGTCAACTTGCGAATTTTGGAGGACTTAGTTGATCTAAGGAGCGAGTAAACGCATTTTTAGTTCTGAAAATATATACTTTTGCAGATAATTGGCGAGAGTAGGGCTCGTTAGGGTACGACGGTTCTTTAAGTGAATTTACTATAAACGAAGAATCTAGTCACTTATTAATTGAGAGACAACGACATGCCATAGTGGATATATATATATATATATAAAATACCACATACATTGACATTCACGAGAAATGACGCTGGAGTGACAATATGATCACGGTATGCCTTTGTCTGTTTGTTCTATTGTGAAGCACTCAAGTTTATCGTTTTTAAACTAAAAACAAATCATTCATAGGAATTGACCATAGAATTGAACGCGATATTTGGCCACTAACCAGCTTCATCTTAGCATCAAGTTTAGTAATTAAAAAGAAAATACTTGAAGTAACATCCCGACCGGCACGTTTGTTTAGAAATCGTACCATATCATATAACTTGTTTTTAAATTATAGTAACTCATGCATATGATACCCAGCACAGACCATGAGGCTATGATTGACTTTGTTTACATTGGAAAGCTTCTGCGCACTACGTTCAGTGCGGCATTACACCCATTATATCCGCCGTAAGATCACTAAGTATGACTGCTATAATTGAAGAAATTGAAGTGTGCAGATTTACAAATGATACTAGCTACGGAAAAACAAGTGAGTTCTGCAGAACAAAATGATACAGTGCCGGTAGAAAAAACAAAGAGTTCCTTCAGTTATCCATTCAGGTCAAAATTGTCTGTACAGAGCAAGAGACGGAAGATTCCATTTGATGTTGACGACTGGCGTGACATAGAAAAGTCACATCATACAGTTCTTTTTGAAAAGCTATGCTTAAAACGATGTTTTCTTGACGAATTGTTCTCTCCAAGGTATACGACAGGTATTGGACAGCACAGAAATACAGAAGAGTGGGTGTTTGTACTTCTTGAGAAGAACTTTGATGCTATCAAGGATGAATCTCTCAAACAAAACCTTAGCAGAGAGCTCTTAGATCAGAGTGGATGGGAAAAATGTAAGCGAATCATGCTGAATCAGCCCTACAAATTTAATGAAAGGATAAATTTGTCATCGGTGGATACTAACTATGGTGGAACCAAAATAAGTTTCAAACTGCAGAACAACACCCAAAGAAAGCCGAACATTAGATTACCAGTAACGTTTGCACTTACTTCCAGGAAAATGACGGAAATTATTATTGTAAGCTTAAGCTTAAAGGAATAGAAATATCACGAGCGAGTCAACATTTATTTTTAATTCTGTGAAGTTTGTATAAAATCAAATGTGTCGATATCCTTTTAGGGAGATTAGTTCTGAAAAACCGATATATTTCTTATATCAAACACCAATAACAATCAAAGTCGCTAAAGTTATCATATTTATGTTGAAAATCAGTTCACATCTTTTTATAGTTCAGTTGTTACAATATTCACGAGGAGTTTTGCGCTTTTGATCTTCTAAATGTTAAAGAGCGCTATATAAGTCAATAAATTATTATTCAAACTTGGCACCTGAAAATAACATGTACCCAGTTTTCATTTCGATGAATAGATAACTGTACTGGCGCAGGTTTCCAATTCCCTATTTATCTATAATTAACAAACTGAAAATATTTCGAGTTCAAGGGCACTGAGTATATTGTCTGGCTTCCGAGAACTGCCATTGTACGGCATCACTTCCAACATATTCATATATGGTTGCTATAGTTATATTATGCATAATTGGGACATGACCACACCTAAAAATGATGATATATAGTCAGGAAGGTAAAAGATTTTGACTTTGTCAAACGTTTTCAAACTATCCGTTCGAAAACCTCATCTTCAGGACTCAAGACTTCTGCAGGGCTCATGCACGGACTCACTTTGAGTCCTGAAGACGAACGTTTATAGTTCGAAAACGTTTGACAAAGTCAAAAATTTATCTTCCTGACGTATATATGCATAATTGACAAGTTAAGTTATCAGCCTAGGCACGCTTCTGTTTCGTTTATTTGTTATGGCGCTGAAATCGGGAAATTATTATTTAGTGGTCATAGTGAGTTACCTTTTCCGATAAAAATAAGGAATTACGTTGATACTTTTCATGCAAACAATCTCACTTTTATGCGCATGACACTTATGTATGCTAGTTAAACATTTTCCTCTCAAACACGAATAATGCATGAAACTTCATTGTTGGTCCATAAAAGAATCTGCCGTCCAAGACACAAGAATTAAAAAGTTTGGAAAGTTAAGTTATACCTACAATTTCCGGTTTGTGCAAATTCTAAGGAAAAAATGGAGGTGTTTGCAAGATTATTATACTTAGGTTTTGGATTGTTAGCAAATATGGCTGGTCGTCTCAAGGAACTGATTTCAACTAGTAAAGATGACGAAGATTTAAATTCTCTTGACAAGATGGTTCGTACAACATTCCAAACAGCCGCAACCAAACTTTATTTCAACTATCGTTTCTTGATAATTTTAGAAGGATATCCTTATCAAGACGGAAATATAGAAAATTGGTTTACAAAAGAAATACCGCTACCCAAAGATCCGTCCATCAATAGACAAATAAACATGTTAAACATGCGCAAGATTCAAAACTTTGAACGAAAATGCCCCCTCATATATGGAAGAGGCTTAGAGATACACTTGCAGGAAGAGAATGGTTTTGAAATTTTTTACCATGGCACTGATCACGGTTCGGCAAAGGATATTATAGAGAATGGAATTCGTCTTGACAAGCTTCGCAGTCGAGGACAAGATTTTAGTTGCGGTAAAGGATTTTATTTGACGAACAAATTCGATACAAACACAGGAGCTGCACAATGGGCATGCAACCGTTGCAGCAAAAACGATCCGTGTATTTTGATTTTTAAGATTCCAAAAGATGAAATAGAAGAGTATCGAAAAAATGCAAAAAACCTTTTTGATAATCAAGGCAGATTGGAGGAAATCATAAAACGATATAGAGTTGAAAAAGGTAAATTTGTTGACAAAGAAACTTTAAAGGAGGATTTTGGGGATGTTTCTTTTGTAGAAGGGCCATGGGTAAAGTTGAAGAAAAACTTGGATGGAGAAGAAACTTTTGATTCTTCAATCGTAGGAAGCTATCAGATTTGTTTGCACAGCAAAGACGTTAGAGATTGCTTTAATAGGTACTTGGACTGCGCCATATTTTTTGACACTAGTTCGACTTCATGAGATAATAGAATATTCCAAAATAAGTAAAAGGGAAGTTGTTTTAATGCCTTGATAAGTCACATTACATAGCTTTTAGCGAAAATAGAAAGTTTTCGAAAGAGTGAAAGGTAGATATGTCATAGATGATTATTTGATAAATATACGCTACAGAAAATACAAATTAAAGTTAAAATAACACAATCGCAGCTCCTGTTTCTATCTCTCTCTCTCTCTATTTATTATATATATATATATATATAATTAGACTGATTCCACCAGTCTGTCAGGTCGCTCCCGGACAGATAAGTCGCTAGTTTGAGCGACAAACCGAAAAATCGAGAAGCGAATACTACGAATTATGAATTCATAAACAGAAAAAAGTTCCATTAAAAAGAATTGTCATATCAAGTAGCGAATACTACGAATTATGAAATCAGTCTGATATATAATATGAGGTGAAAAATATTGCTTTTCAAAAATAATAATTTTCCAATTTTATACACGCGAAGAAGTGAGATTTTGAACACGAAAACATAGGTAATATCCAATGTAAAATACACAGCATTTTGGTATAACTTCATGTAATAATCAATGTTTTGAATAGCGACGCTTTTAAATACTTTATTCACACGAGGAATCCAACAAGGAAAGCAATTTTGAACAAAAAAATGTTTTTCAATATTTTGTCTGCCTGACTGGTTTCTTGAAAAAGCTGCTCAATACTTTTCTTTTTTGAGTACTGATGGTGGTTTGAGAGCAGAAAACATAAAAGCATGCAAGCATGCAATAAAATGAATTACGAATGTTATGCACAGAATCCGTTGAACGCAATCATGGACTTGAGAGAACCGTCGAGAACGTAAACTATTGGTGTACTAACTTTGCATGTCAATAATTAATTAGCCTTTGAGCCTGTGAGCTGGCTAAACCTTTGAACATTACAAAGAATGGTATCATGGTGACATCGAAGTTCATAACAACTAAAATTAGGTCAATTTCCTGAATTCTAGTATATAAATCGTGTCAGATATCAATAGTGGTCTGCAAGTTCTCTACAAAATCTGGGAGTTTGAATTAAGAACTTTTTACTGTAAATCTCAAAAAATGCTGCGTGAGACATCATCCCCCAAATTTTAATTTTAAAAGAATGATACCAAATGATGTAAGGTAATATACATCTATAATTCAAAAAATTCTCCATAACAATTGATCTTTTAGTGTGCCTGTCTGTGCAGGTTGAGGAACTCTCGCAAAAACATTGTTAACAGCAGGTGTATCATGAGAAGGGTCCATATAAACAAGTTGACACTGGTGATATTTAACAAATGGAAGCCCCTTGTTGAAAAGGATATTTTGCTATCACTTCGCTTTTGATAGTATCCTTAAATGAAAAATTCAATTTTTCATTTAAGGAAACCATCAGATTTTCTCGCACACTATAGTGAAAATGTATATTAATGACAAAATGAGAGACGAATATGGCACAAGGAGCTCCTACAGCACATCAGTGGCTATTGGAAACGTCAAGAACCACAAAGTTACAAGAAAAAGAAGTAAACAGGATAACAGTCATCCAAATGACATTAAAAGTGCACCTGCTACAATAAGAAAATATCGACGTTCATGTGACACTACTCAAATTGAGAAGACCTTCTCTACAGATAGTCTGTTGTCGTGCGTTTCAGATTTAGGCCCTGTATGGCACGAAAAGGATATTTCAGATACAATCAGCCTTCGCCAGTATTTTACAGTGCACCATGACAATGATAATGCAGCTGTTTCGTCGCTATCCGCCGACAAAGCATCATTGAAAAGTGACGAGAAAGACAGTAGATATCTAGGTTCTTTAGAAAGTCGACATCCCTGCGATGATCAAAATCGCGATGACAAGCGTTACAGCACTTACTCATTCTTGCAGGTACTCACTATACTTGGCTTGCAAAACTGTTGTGTGGACGATATTTCTCGTCTTCCACGCGACTTGAGACATCACAGAGATGACGAAGACTGGATAATGATATTCCTAGAAAAGAATTTTTACGCTATACAAGACGAAAATTTTAGACAAAATCTCAGCGAAGATCTTTTGGATAAGATTGGATTTGTACGGGGCAGCAACGCAGTGTTAACAATATTAGCAAGATCAAAGACATTCTTACCAAAACACCTCGACGCAATAGATACTGTAAAGCGCTTTGTGGTAGACGAACTTAGATACAGTCCTGATTTTTCGAACAAGGAAGACTGCCAGAAAGTGCGTCAGAAACAGAAAGAACCAAAGGAAACCTTTGCCGTTGACAGCGCAATTACCCTTGAAGGGAATATTTTGGAGAAAATTGTTCACTCAAAACAAGTTAAGGTCAAAATAGAAGAACTAAGCCAAGACAATCAAACTGAAGTGTGGTTTCATGGAACAGATAGCCAAAGCGCCTTTGATATTTCATGGAGAGGAATCATTGTAAGTTCGGGTTCTCCGAAACGAGATTTCAGCGACGGAAAGGGCTTCTATCTCACCAATAATTTTGAAGATGCCAAAAAGTGGGCATTCAGCATAACGCGAAAGCCTGCCGTCTTAATTTTTAAGATTCCAAAATCATGCCTTGAAACAGCCAAAAAGTTGAATTTGTTTAAAAAGTCGCAAAAGAACCCAACATGGCAAGAGATAGTAAATGCGAATCGATCGGGGATTCTAAGCTGGAAGATGAGAACAACGTTGGAAGAATACGACTATATCGAAGGCCCAGTTTCTGTTGCAACCGAAAGTAACAGTGTCCAGGACGTAGACTCTGGAGCACCGACGATGACTCTTCGAAAAGCGCGGCCCCAGTCACACCAAATTTGCATCATCAACGAAGATTTTGCAGATGCAATCGACGAATATATATCAAATGTTGTTTTGTACAACGTTCTGCGGGAGCAAGATCTTTCTCAAGCCAAGACCAACTAAAGAGATGTTATACAGTTGACAAAGGAAAAAAAGAGACTGCATTACACAAATGAATAAATGAAATGAAGTATATTTAGCAAGAGTAGAGTGATACACTAGTGCTGATAATAACATTCGTTATATTACACCCGTCTCTGGCCAACTAGTCGCAACTGCCGCCCTGTATTCGCTTTGGCACAGGAGGCAATGTTTACACTTACTCTTTTTACTGAATAATAGCTAGGCTGCGAGTAAAACAAGTTTCAAGCTGTGCGACGCGAATTAAACTTTCCATCCTTAGTACTGTTCGTTCGAAAAAAGAAAACCTGCAGATTGAACACAAGACACAAAGAACGAGAACTTTGGAACACTAATAAATTACCTTAAGTGTCTGCACAAAATTCCAGAAGGACAATAATAATAATCACGCTTGCAAAGGTATTTTTGTTAACTTAGTTAAAGTTAAAGAAATAAAAATTTCACGATCATCTATCAACTTCGATTTTTTTTAATTTCCTGGATGTTCAAGTGTGTCGATCGACCCTCTTTTCTATGGCCCATTTGATCTCACAAACCAATATCAGATTTCATACGCGAAACAATGTCATATCAGTTACAAGCTAACAATCAAAATCATAATAAATTCGTCAGAGTTATTAACACTTTTACTGAAAAATCAGTACTGAAAAATCAGTCAGTCATTATAACTGCAATTCTTGGGTTGCAACCACATGACCATGATTCCCTGAGAAACAATGAGAGACAAAGCTATCTTCGCCATGTTGGATGAATAAACAAGACGAAATTAATGAAGAATGCTTTTTGATCTTCAACCAACATGGCGGGGATGATGTAACTTGCAAGCCAAGAATATTTACTTCTGAGTTTTAAACTTGAAAGCTGAAAATGGCCACACGAGTTACGTTTTCATTTCGACGAATAGATGTCCGATATTATAAATTGTACCAAACTAAAGATGACCAAGGTATTGATTTCCTAATTAACGAATTGAAACGAAAATTTTGATCTCGATTTCATAATAAATTACTTCTATTTTTCAAAACACCGTCTGGCTACCGAGAACGGGCCACTTCAAACATATCTATAAACGGAAATATTGTTAATATTGTTGTGATAAGTAGAGTTATGAGCCTAGTCGCGCTTCTGTTTCGTTTATTTGTTGTTATTGCGCTGGAAATTTCTAGTTAGTGGTCATAGGGGGTGGTGCTTACACATTAAGTTTACTAAGGATTGTAGCATTTTTTCCCCTTTCTTTCTTTCTTTTTGCGTCTTCTTAATGGAAATCAATTTATGAAATAAATGTTGTGTGTGTTCGAAGATTTTTCACTTATCTTTTAAACCAAAAACCGACAGACATGGTGTGACACAAGCAATCTTTGATTAATTAATGAACTGAAATTTTAACAATTACTTTATTTCCAAAGTAAATCCCCTAAAACATATATGCTTCCACTTCAAAAGACTTTATACCAGCGACTTTGATTTCTAGGTAAGCACTTCAATAGCAAAACCGTTTAACCTTAAAATCATATGGAGAAGTCCTTTGACAAAATAATTACCAGTCCTCTATTTTAAAACGGTCTCCAAAATACACTATTGGAATCCGAGCCCGCTAACATTGCACCAGCGTAATCACTTGGACACATCGGTATATACTGGACAGCGGGATCCTGACGGGCGGGGTTAGCAACACGCGGTGACAACATTCTGAAAGAGCCTGGGGCCGATTCATATTTTATAGCTGTGGCGTTATTTTGATTGGCATTGCGTGACTGGGGTTGTGTTCGGCATGGTTCCATAGTAACGTCATTTGTTGTCAAGCTAGGATCCACTTCATTGATGCATCTACAGCATCCAATGCGGATGTCAGGGATGACAGTTTGGCTTAGTAATTGACCAGAACTTACTGAAATTAAGGAAAAGCGTAAAATCAGCTTGAGGCTCTTAGAACGCTTACTCGGGTTAAACATTCTCAGCAGTAAGAATAGACGAAGTCGTCCTTGGCCCCGAGGAAGAGAAAGATATTAGTCTGAAATGAATGTTAGGAGCAAAACTGCGACTTCAGCTATTCAAGGTTCATATAAGCGACAAAACGACATAATCGCAATCACGACATAACTTTAAAGCCCCAGTTTGCACCATTATGCTCTGCGCGCCTCTGTTATTGTTATGATTTACAAAAATACTTCTAGTATCCAAATATCAGCATAAAACGAATGTCAGATGGTTGAAAACTCTAATATTAGCGTTTAAAGTGCTTAGAAAAGTGAGATGGTCAAAGATTCGAAACGCACAGTACAATTTATAGACTTTCGGTAAGCTGAAAATGGCCGCCTCCAGGTCCTCGAGGCGCCCAAAGCATAATTGTACACACTGGGCCTTTAAACATAAATAGAAGGAATGCAAAAGCATCTATTTTCCAAACACTATGTTTATTGTGTCGCTAATGTGAACTAAAACGCGAGGATGTGGATACGACCTTTTCAACAACCGGTTGTAGTGAATTTCGCAACGTTTTTGAGGATGCTTCTGTTTTTCTTTCTCGTTTCTTTTTTTTTTTCTTTCATTTTTCTTTACTTAAAAATGCTTTTTTAATTGTATTTACTAGAATTTGAATGAGTTGAKCCAAAATTCCAACCCACTTTGTTACTTACAAATAGTGCACAGTATAACAAATGACTCAAATTGACTTGTCAACCCATACGCAGTCTGCAAAACGTAAAACGTACGTTTTCGCGCTTTTCTACATATTACCACACTACGTTATCATTATCATATAACCATGCGTTACCCTTATTGCTGTTTAGGTAGTATGGGAAAGGAAGGTCGTGGAGCGATACTATCAACGTTTGCGCACTATAAAAAAACTTACAGCATTTCCGACGGTTCCGTAACGACCGCAGATGCTTCACCGTCATTTCAAGAATGTCTGCTTTTTCAAGCTTGGTGTATCTTGARCTCTAAAACCAACACATTTTTACAATTAGGAAGACAATTGAGGCTATAAAATGCCCATATACCCCGCTGTGTTCATTTGAACAGGTCGCAAATACTTCTCTTTGGCCATGGATGATTATCGTGGATTAAGTAATTCCATTGTTAAACGTATACTTAGAAACACAGGGGGTATGTACGCATCATCTGAACGGTCGCAAGCCTTAATTACCCTTGCGTGTATCCTGCGTACTCCTAGCGTARTTTACGTAAGACTRCAGTTTGTATGAATTACGCATAGGTTTGCAMACAAGTTGAACGYAAAATATGTACAACGWGAATTGACATTTGGAGTTGTTTTGCTAGWTGTTTWCTGAGCGGAAGTACATAGGTKAGCTTTACGTGAAAATAAACGTAAGTTTAACGTTAACAAACGTAGGATGGAATTGCAAATAGTAAAACCAATCGTTATGTGCCTTGAAAAGACTGGTTTGATTTGATTATGAATAAAAGATACAAGTTTTGCACTGATGACTGCGACTGCATGTAGAAACATGCTTTATGGTATTTGTCAAAATTGAATTATGCTATGAGCTCTGCTTGACTCTCACAAATTACAAAATAACTATAAGATTTAAAATGAGAGTGAAGAAAATGGTCCAAATGATTAGAAGAATATTTCAAAAGAAGGTAATGACTATTTACTACAAACTGAAATAACATGTTCATATGCCCGAATCGACCAGGAATCGAGACACTGGCTTGTCATAAACAAACAAATCACTGACTTACGTCGCGATGTTGCGCTTCCAGAACAAGTCGTTTAAGTTCTTCTAAACTCTTGTTGATTCTTTCTCGTCGYCTTTTTTCCATCACGGGTTTAGACCACTGAAAAAAACACACCACAACAGTAGAGTCAATCTTGAACTAGAACCAAGGAAGGGCAATTTATTGCAAGGATAAATTAATTAACACAACAAATCAATTAGAATACGAGATCATAAATCATATATTTTGTTGTACATTTCCGATTCAATAAGAAATAGATGRATATATGAAAGGAATTGGATTTTCAGACCGAAGTTTGGAATAGTTTACGACAAGTTCGAATCGACAGCAATGTATACCTTTCTCCCTTCTCTTTCGCTCATCGTGGATATGACAGCGGACTCCTGAACCATTTTCTCACCGCAATGCATGTGACTTTTCGGCAATGGAACGATCGATCACGACTTTGGAACGACAGATCGGCACTTTGGAACGACTGATCAGCACTTCGAACGACTGATCAAGCACCTTGATTCTCGCCATATACCGGTATGAATTATTCACTTTGACGTACCGTGGGAAAACGGGGACGTCAATGTTCCCAACAGTTCACAAGCTGAGCCTATTGTACACTAATGTTACAGTGTATGCTTCACTGGGCYCTARCCAAGCGAAGCCAACACTACGAGAAGAGACGAAAGTACCATCTAGAGCAGGTCGACTCAACATTTACAAATAAACACCCTAAATGGTACGTTTTTCATCGTAAAAAGGAGAGCGAAGTTTAACACATTAATAATATCATCACGAAGTGATAAAAGACTCACGCAGTTCCGTTTTATTAAATCAAACCTTTAAGTGTAGATTAAATTGTTGTTTCGTACCAGGCGAGCCGTGAGAACGCGCGTCGTTGATTGGTTCATTTGAATAGATAACCATACATACGCCGCAAGCGTAACTGGAACCCCACTCGGCTGCACAGGGTTCGCTATTATCCTCAAGCTAATTCACAATACAGAAAAACACTAAAGATAGATTTAAAACTATACCACACATGTTAACGGCATTGTTTCGCCAAATGACCATTCAATGTTGCGCAAGCAGATGCTTTTCAAACAATGCACGCGAACGCGACATTTCAAGCCGTTCACAATAACGWGAGGTTTCCCACGCTCCCGTTAAGTGTAAGGACTCGACGTAGATGGACGATTCTAGGCCTTGAYTCGTGAACAATGGAAGCGTAAAATGACGCTAACGGCTCACTATTGTTCTTTTTTTTAAAGTTTTAACAGTATATTGAGAAAAAGGTTTACCATTATGCTGAGAAAAACGTCTAGTTTCCGTCTCTCGTTTGGATCATTTACGTTATTGCATTTTTTTCCGGAGTGTTTCAAAAATGAYAAGGATATACTATAACTTATGACCTTTAATTCTCCAACTGAAGAAAATGTAAACTTAGTAAACATAGCCAATCAAAACCAAAACAATTTGAGTCTGTTTCAGTACNCTAGCAATGAAATATTAATATGATATCAGTCGCTAGCAATGAAATATTAATATGATATCAGTCGCTAGCAATGAAATATTAATATGATATCAGTCGCTAGCAATGAAATATTAATATGATATCAGTCGCTAGCAATGAAATATTAATATGATATCAGTCGCTAGCAATGAAATATTAATATGATATCAGTCGCTAGCAATGCAATATCAATGTAATGTCATTCACTAGTAATGTAATGTCAATGCGATGTCAGTCATTAGCAATGGAACATTAGCTGGTATATCAGTCACTGGCAATGCAATGTGATATTAGTTTTAATTATAAGGTAGCAGTTATGACAATACTTTTATGAATCTAGAAAAATTAAAAATTTCGACAAATGTAGCACATGACATATTTACAAAATTAAACGCAAATAAAAGACCAACGAAAACGGCACGAAAACCATGACCACCACAGCTTACCAACCAGTGTGTTTATTATTTCTGAATGATCAAGATTCTGACCATAACCCCCACTCTTCCCCATAAGAAAACCTTGCACAGTCCCCTGTTTCATGATCGTTGCTTTTAACAAAGAATATTTTCACACAAAAAGTCGGCGAAATACGGTTTCCCCTTCCCGTTTTGAATTCAGCGACTCACTGTTGAACTGCGTACGGCCCAATGCGTCAAATACGCTAACGGGAAAAGAATACGAGTCTCCCTTGCTATTTTCTTACTTTTCCAAACATATTACCCTTACACTTGATGCTGGCATAAATTCTCGTAGAGCCGAAGAAGTTACCTTTTCAAATGTCGTGAATTGAATCAATAATCAGTACGTATATACGTCGCGCACGTTTTTTTTCCCGTTGCGTTAACGTAATACAAATCATTACAACAGAAGTAACTGTAAGCACATCACATGACAGTCACGCGTTCGCCGACCTCGTGGAGCAGTTCGCGTTGCCCACGTGTTACCACAGGGAGCCCGACTTATACAGCTCCATTAAYAAGCACAGTAATTAACGAAAAGGTCGGTTTGGATTTCACGAGCCGACTTGAAGTTCCACTTCTCCCAAGCATTTCTACTAACTTGCAGGAGAACGTCGAGTAGTTTTTTGAGTAAATACGTGTTTCGGTCGCAGTTGCTACTGAAGTATTATATCGGACGCAAAGCACTGCGAAAAAGGTTCATTTTGCTGAAACTTTTCTTAATTTGCTTTCGCAGCGTCTTTTTAACAGCCGCAAGGTTCTCAATGCATAAGTTACATCTTAGTAAAGACGTAACCAAAACTGAGGGGTTTTGTCTAAATAAAGTCTGTAAGTTTTTCCCTTYCAAACGTCTTTGTAATTGTAAGTAATGTGAGCAGCTGCTAGTCCAATTCCAGTCCGACGGAGGTAGATTTTTTCCTCGCAATGAACTATTTATGTCTACTCGCGGAAGCATAGATCAYCACTTCGCATCAGCGATAGTTTCTGGGATGATCAGCTCGGATTGCGAATACATATATTTCTTCTTTGCTCAATGCTTTATCTCAAGACACTCCTGACTGTGAATTTTGGACCCATTCGAGTGAGGAACGCAGTGCAGACTACAAGAAACCATTTCAGCCTCAATGGGCAACACAAAGTACAGATTGGAGTTTGAACTGGAAGGTGATAATATCCACGAGTTAATATATTAAGARCTTCAATTCAGTCACAAACCACATTTCAGTTCATACTCTATCTATGCGGACAATAGCAGAGTAACGGACATGACGTCATACGGATTAAACGGATTTAGGAATTGCATAGCCTGCGTAACCAGGCGTTCCTAGCCGCTCCGAGAGAATTTGGTCCCTAGAGACCCAGAAGGGAAACTTTGACACGGATAGACGAAGGAGAACGCATGCTCAATCAATCGATTCTTTATTGKCACAAACAATGAACTTAAAAGCTACGAGTAGAAGTCAACGGATTCTTAACTGGCTATTTATAAGGTACAATAATGGAACTTAAAACTTGTAATTATGTTTAAAATATTGCCGAATAAGCTAACCGAACTCTCAACAAGACATGCTGTCTAGATAACTAATCTTTACAGAAAGCCGGCTTTGTTTCGCTGTAAAAATATGTTAAAATATACAAATGCTAATCGCCATTGAGCATCTCCTCTATGAAATTGCTATTTTACACATCGTTTGAAGATAATATCGGTTAGTATTAACAGTTCTTTAGGATTCTTTGGCTCAGGAAGAAAGCCTACGCAAAGACATCGATTCGGTTCGGCAACAAAGTTTTTCAAGTCGGACGAAGCGTTCACAAGCAGGGACAGCGACTTCGATCCGGAAACGGCTCACCAATTCCTTCCTTCGAAACAAAACAGCAACAATTGTTAAACTGGATAGTGAACACAAAGCAACATAAATCAAATACTCGTTAAAAGTGACAATGACCAATCTACCGAGTTCAAATACTGTTCGTAATGAGCTCGTAAAAAATACGGTTCGTAAATGAGTTTGCAGAGTTCTTTTGATGTTGTTAAACCGAATGATATCAATGAATTTGAGATGAATGGGAATTACTCCTCATGAATGTAAGCACGAAACATGAATTACTTTACATAACGCACTTGTTTGCATGTTTCCAGATACATGTTCTCAAAAATGTTTTGTTGTTGCCGCACTCTTAAGAAGGATTTCCTACGTGAGTAGACCACAGATGTTATATGTAGAATAAATCGGCATTTCTTTGACAGGAAAACACCGCAGAAAATCGAAATATCAACACATCTCTGGAAACATATTTCACGATTATGGCCAAAGATTTGATAGCAAATTTTACAGATTTGACATTGATAGGTGYAGTTTAGCTACCAATAACCAATAAGTGATTGAGGATGAAGATATATTGGGCAAAATAAGTCTTAGAAATGAATCATGACAGGTATTGAGCACATTAATCAACTAACCTCCAGACGAGTAGCTTCCTCCAGGGGAACCAAAACCAGGTCTCCCAGCTCCAGCCKGGCTTCTTTCAGGTGGAGGCCCATAGCCAGATCGCTCGCCATATGGACCACCACCGCCACTGCTGCCACCACCACCATATCCACGATCTGAGCCACCGTAACCCCTGTCAGCACTACCACCGTAACCTCCTCGATCATAGCCTCCTCTTTCTGCAGGAGGATATCTGTCACTACTGCCACCATATCTGTCAGGATAGGAGCTCCTCTCACCTCCATAACCCCTACCAGCACTATCATATCGGTCACTAGCAGGAGGAGGGCCATAACCACGATCTCCACTTCCACCCCCAACTGATGAGTAGCTTCTTTCTGGGGGAGGTCTGTCACCATAGCCTCTTTCACCTCCATAGCTTGGAGGTCGTTCTCTTTCACGATCATAACCGCCGCGATCGTAATCCCTTGGGGGTGGGTACCCACTGCGTTCTGGAGGTGGCATTCTCCTGTCTGGAGGGGGTCTTTCATAGCGATCATATCCACCACTGTAGGGCCCATCTCTTTCTGGACCCATTGGGCTTCGGCGTGGTGGGGGTCCTCCTCTTGGTGGCGGCATGTCTCGGAAGGGAGGTCCTCGCCCAGGTGGTCCTCGTCCAGGTGGACCTCCCCGAGGGGGTCCTCTAGGTGGCCCTCTTGGTCCACCACCTCCACCTCCGCCTCCACGCCTGTTTTGTCTGGCTGATTCTTTATCTTGGGCGTACTCTATATTCAATGCTCGCTGGAATATCTCCTGAGAAATATAAATCATGAAGGGTGAGATTTTTTAAGAGCAGTCAAAACCCTTCTATTCAAAATATATTGCCTGTTATGCAGCATTATACCAATAGACCTCTTACCCTATTACGTAATGTACCGTACACCGAATTGAGAAAACGTACTTGTGTTCGAAAAGGTTACATCATAGAAGCTAAGACCAAAAGGGATTTTGATTACCACTAAATTGGGATTACATTTGCATATACGGTGTATACTAAGCAAGTAGAGCTAGTAAGTTTAACAGCATGATAGTCTTTTATGCTGGAGAGATGTTTGTTATGAAATTAGCCAAATTGTTTGTCTTCCCAAGTACCCTTTCGGTCTTAGCTTCCATGATTTGACCTTTTTGGACCCGACAACGTTTCTTCAATTAGGTGTATACACAATGCATTGTAAGATATGTTTGTGACAAAACATGGCGGATTTCTCATGTTTTTTTTTTCTAGAACCTGATCCCACAATGCATTGAAAATTAAGTACTGACGTAAAAGGTTGAGGAGTCTATAATGAACATGCACTGTGCCATAATGTGAATCAATTCAATGATATCAAGTAGATATAAATGCTTGTCCTGAACCACACCAGGTTCATTTTCTTTACTAGTATATTACGAAAACAAATATTTGATTACTGAGAATTTGGTAGATGTCAATCAACAGACCTCAAAGATGTTTCTGTTTGTCATTTGGAAATTCAGAGGATAGCCACTAAAAATAGTAAATCCTTGTCATTAAGGGAGAATTACTTTAAATAGCAGATAATTAGAAGACGACTTGATCATTTCCAAACAACAACATAATATTTTCTACACACGATAATTCCAATCAAAAATGAGTCCTGCAAGTAAGGAAAACACTGTTTTCTAGTGATAATACAACATATGGAATAGTAAACAGGATACATGGAAGGCTAAACTACTTGAGTTTCAGACCAAATTACATTAAAACGACAAAATACCCAAAACAGTATGAYWTCTTTTGCTATTTATATCTTATTTTGAGTGAGAATAATCCTGTTTCGAATTCTCCAATGCTCTGTGTTAGCCTCATTTGCGCGCAAAATATTCTAATTGTGAGAATAAGACTGTGAAAATGAATTAATTTTTATTGTTTTCTTTTCAAATTCCATGCGTTGTCTCGGGCTATTAACAAAACAAAAAAATATGTTGCTTGGTTTTCAGGCTTACACAGAGCAAACCAGAACTCAAAATTGGAGAATTGAAGTTATTCAACCGGCTTACTATAATCGCCGAAACGAAACGAAACGAAACGGGAATCTGTATTCAACGAAACGAAACGAAACGAAACGGGATTAGCTCTCTAGATATACAATATTTTTTGAGAAATCTTTAAAAGCGTAAACACAATAAACATCACGCACACGGCAATAATGTAAACGTGACTCAATCAGGCTAGTTTAAGTTAACGAGCTTGCTTAAAGGATATTAAACCGTTCACTCTGATAGTCTTTCCTTTTTCATACTTGCGCTATAAAACAAAGTAAAAATATGAATAGACTGATTCTAATTGTAGTTATTTTAAAAAGTTCAAGAGTCAGACAGTTTGCAAAGCCGGCATAGTTGGCGTCGCGCCAGCTTGTGCCAGCAATGTCAACACGGCTACATCTTTGACCTCTGAAAACCATGGCCGCTTCAATCTTCATTTAGGAATACTCCTGCTTGAATACCAATGTTTTCTTTAATCCAGAAGAGACAGAATTTAGGCTATCCGGCAAATCAGACTCAGACGGTCACGTTGCGGCATCACTGAGNTTTCGTTTCGGCGATTATAGTAAGCCATTCAACCAAGTTAATTGATTTGTCAAAGTGAAAGACACGTTAGGAACGGGTCTAGATTCATTGCATTGCATATCAACTAATTTATGTATCAAATGGTACATTATGGACTTGAACTTCTGGTCAATGTATCAAGCACTCTGCCAGTGATAACCATGAATCAACCGTAGGTACATTAAAGGGACATGATCCACCAGCATCCCTTTTGAGCTTTTGTTTGTGTTTGAAAATAGAAATACATCGTAATATAACCAAAAACTCACTCTTTATTATTCCTTTATCCTATATGAATGGAGATGCTTTAAGATTCGACCGTTAAACCGATGGATGGAAACGGATTGCAAATGGATATTGGAAGTCACCTTATTTTCCATATATGAAAAATCTAAAACACGACCGCATTGCATGCTAGTGGACCATGTCCCTTTAAGGAATTGAGTCCCTAGTACATGTAATCTAGGTACATTGTATCATGTCGTTCGCAGGTAACACCAAAACAATGAAATATGTTCAGAATAAAATGTTACTTGCTTCTCTTGCAGCCAAAAAAGGTTTCTAAATGTTTGTGTTCCGTTTTTCTAATTAGCCTATTCAAGAATCAAGAATATAATAAGTACCTATATCTATTGTATATTAATGAATGACTTGATGAAATGTTTTTATGCTACAGTATAATTAACACCATGAATCGACCCTACAATTGTAGGCACATTAAGGAATTGAGTCCCTAGTACATGTAATCTAGGTACATTAAGGGACTGAGTCCCTAATAATCTAGGTACATTTTATCATGTCGTTTGCAGGTAACACCAAAACAATGAAATACGTTCAGAATAAAATGTTACTTGCTTCTCTTGCAGCCAAAAAAGGTTTCTAAATGTTTGTGTTCCGTTTTTCTAATTAGCCTATTCAAGAATCAA